ACACACACACACACACACACACAGACAGAGACAGAGAGACAGAGACAGAGAGACAGAGACAGACAGAAAGATTGATTCAGCAAATGCAGAGAGAACTCTATAGTACATGGGCAGGTACAGGTCCTGAGACCTGTAGAGTACCACTTCTATAACCTCTTCTGCAATCTCAACGATTACAATAAAAACATCATGATGGTTTTAGATATTCTGATTACAGGGGAGTATTGATTCTAATCTCATCATCGTTTCCCTTTGGCATTTTCAGTGCGACCTTGGAGGAGTTACTCAATTCCACTAAGTATCAAACCTCTGTTCCTCATCTTTATTGCGAGAAATCACACTAATACCTAGCTCCTCAAGTTGGAAGAGGTTTAATTGAACTGATGTATGTGGGATACTTAGAACAGTACCTTGTGCATTGCATGAATTTGATAAGAGTCCTTTATTATGAGTTCGGAGGAGATTCCTCATGGTTTGTCCTATGCAGTGTATTTTCTTCATAAGCAAGCCACTTGGAATGCTATGGCAGGATGAGATTTTGAGTGATTTTGGCTGAACTATACATGTCTTGAATGGAGAAGAATGAGACATTGATAATATTCTGTCTTTGTAAAACATAGCTCTACCTAAATTCACCCTAACTGAACAATATTAAGGTATACTGAGAGCTAGATGGATACTCAAAGTTATTCAAATGTAATGTTCACAGTTTTCCTATACAGTATTTCCATATATTCAGAAACACAACATACTTGGAATTAGACTGGGAGTGGGGTTATATATCAGTAGATCTATGGGGACTTATTAAGGGTAAGGTTCATAGCATCGGGACTGAGCAATTACAGAGCAGAGCTAGCCAACAGAAATTTGGCAGTAATATTTATTGAGAACATGGAATTTAGCTAGTGTTACTGAGAAACCGAATTTTGAATTGTGTCATGTGGCGCTAGTGGCTAGCATATTGTAGAACACCATGCTAGAGGGTATGTGGAGGAACTTTGAGATTTTGTAAACTTTTGAAATGTATTAGGAATTGCATGTATATGGGTATTTTTCTAGAAAGTGAGTCTAGCTTTTACTAGACCGCCAAAACCATCAGTGAGATTATGAATTGCTCATTTTGGTCTTTGGTTAAAAACAGAAATTAAGGGCAGTGACTATGCCCTATTGTAACCATTTCTATTGTCATTTCTTGTGTCCCCCTCCCTTCAGCTGCAGGTGGCTCTCCTCAGGATTATTACAGAGAGAAACAAACTGGAATCTGAGACCTCAGGCACCAGATAACTCTGAGATTCTGGAAGGGGCTATGGCTGTGGCCCTGGGCTGTGCAATCCAGGCCTCCCTGAATCAGGGCTCTGTGCTACAAGAGTATGACACTGACTGTGAGGTCTTCCGCCAACGCTTCAGGCAGTTCCAGTACACTGAAGCAGCTGGGCCTCATGAAGCCTTCAACAAATTGTGGGAGCTCTGCTGTCAGTGGCTGAAGCCAAAGATGCGTTCTAAGGAACAAATCCTAGAGCTCCTTGTGCTGGAACAATTTCTCACTATTCTGCCCACAGAGATAGAGACCTGGGTGAGGGAACACTGTCCAGAGAATAGAGAAAGAGTTGTATCACTGATAGAAGACTTACAGAGAGAACTTGAGATACCAGAACAACAGGTGAGAAAAGGGTTTGGGGTCTTTGTGGTTAGACCAAAAGAGGAACCAAAGCAGCTGGCTCCAGATCAGGTATTTTAGCTCTGTGTCATCATATAGCCTCAAGATTTCTCCATAGTTCTTTCCATTTTAATCTTCTACTGCAGTTAGCATATAAGTCAGTGGTTCTCTGCCCTATCAGACCTTATTCTCTAACATATACATTATATTGTGTCTTTCCTTATCTGTAAATGAAATTTATAAACAAAAGCAACAATCCACATGCATCAACCAAAATTATCAATAATTTGCTCTTTCACCAGTAGGCCAAATCTGATCTTGGCCCTTTTTGTGTGTACCTAGGAGAAGATAGTGATTTTTACTTCATTAACGTGTGTTGCTTTTTTGGAAAAAAAGGAAAGAAAGAAGGAAAATAAATGAGACAGTAAATATAGCCCCTAAAGCTGAAAATGTGTACTCTTTGGCTCTTTGCAGAAACAGCTTGTCAAACCTGAGTCAAGTCAAATCTAGAACAGATACAAAGGGAAAGGAGCACAGTTCATTATAAGCGAATAGGCATTTCTGCATAAGAATGCCTAGGCTTGACTTCAGCAGAGTAATTTATAATTGATCAGATACTTATATCTTTTCTTAGAATCACTGTGATGGGACAGTCCGGATTTCAGACTCTGGCTCAAGTACTATGAACAATATTGCTGTTTGTCATGTGAGTTCTCAAAGTGGCAAACAAGTCCTTTACCAATTGGAACAATAAATAGTGTAGTCTTCCTGGGATTTGCACAGTAATATATTTCTAGGAAACCCAAGTCATGCTAAAGTATGCAAAATTGGTTTGTATCTGATAACAGAATATGGTTCTTGGCAGGTGCTTTTTACCTACACATAGTCTTGAAGGTAAATTCCACAGTTGGTAGGAATATGGAACAACTCTACACTGGGAGTGATGCTCCTATCTCTGGCCCTCTAGGGGTTAAGGGCAGTGGCACTGCCCTTGTTTAGAGCCATCACCATGAAAAGCCTCTTCAGAAAGGGCAGGCTGAGCAGAAGACAGTGTCTGGAAGGAGGGAACAAGTGCTTCCACTTGGACATTACAGACCCAGGGTGTGGTTTAGGGTGGGTTTGGCAGGAGCTGGTGGGTTCAGGACAACCCCCTAGAGTAGCTTGGCCTAGTGGTTTCCCTTCATTTTCCTCTGTCGTTTTGTTACCTACATACAATTTTATCTTCCAGTGATCTAGACATGCCCTGCTCTGTACAGGAGCCACTGGCCATGGGTGGAACTTGAGCACTTAAAATGTGGCCAGTGCTAATTCAGGCCTGTGTTCAGTGGTAAATGCTTACCACATGTAGAAGATTTAATATTAAGGGGAACAGTAAGTGGAGTGTCTCAGTAGTTATTGTATTGACGATATATTAAAATTCTAATGGTTGATATATCTTGGATTCAATATGCCAGCTACTTAGGTTGACCTGTCATATTTCTTCTCATACACTGTTTCGTGTGGCCACCGAAACATTTAAAATTATATGCATGGCTGTCTGTACTGCTGGTGGCCAGTGTGTTCCTTCTAAGTGAGAAAGAGCTAACTGTACATCCAGTGGGTCTGGACAGACAGTGATAGATTCTGGCATTCCCCCAGGTTGACATGCATGACATACTCTTGGAAGAACTGGCACCAGTAGGAACGGTACCCATGCCACCAGACATGCATCTGGAGTCACCTGCCCTCCAGGTAATGGGCCCTGTCCAGGAGGCCCCAGTCACAGAGGCCTGGATCTCACAGGCAGGGCCACAGGAGCTGAACTACGGTGCTGCTGGAGCATGCCAGCCCTTTCTGGACCCTGGTAAGGAGAGCGTCTTGATTTTGCTCTTTTGTTTGTGTGAGAGCTCAAGATTGTCCAAGGGCTGGGGTTGGGCTGGAAAGGCAGGTTTCCCAGGGAGAATAGGCCATTCACATAAGAGGAAGAGTAGGAAAAAGAAGAGAAGATGAGAAAGAGGATAAAAAGTAAACATAAGGAGAAGAAAGGAAAGAGTAAGAGAAATTTCTCTCTTGGAATAGCATGGAACAAAGCACTTTGGAGAGAATAGCATTGGGAACTGGTAAAACCAATGCTCAGGGGGTTTTCATCAAGAATGCTACACAGGAAAACCATTTGTCCAGCATATTTTGATCCACAGCATCTGTGTTATTGCATGTCCCTAGGGCTACAGTAACTTTTATTGCTTAAGAGCTTCATTTAAACTTAATACTTTAGTAACATGCTCTCTCTCTTCCATAATGTGGGGGAAATACATATATCATGAAATCCCTACCTAGAACAGTGTGTCATGTGTTATAAGTCTGCATCACCTGGGCTATACGTTCAACAAGCTCTCCAGGTGACTGCTGCCCACACAAAGGCTGGAGAAGCATGGTCTCAGATAGGACAAGGTGAGTCTTAGAAGGAAAAATCCTGGGTGGAGAAAGGCCACTGTACTGCATGGCCCAGATTCCCCTCCATTTCCCTTCCCTGTGGGGTTTTCTTATCTTGCTACACACACTCCCTGGCACAGCTCTTTCTTTGTCTCCATTAAGGCTTTGGCCCAGGTATGGCAAGAGCCCCCTCCCCTTTCTCCCCTAGACACAGTTTGAACATGTTGGCATTTTGACTGCATAGTACTAAGAGAACAGAAGAAGATGACACAAGGGAATTAGGTAGAAAACAGTCCAAATTATAGAAGTAGAAATGTCTGACACACCTATGACTAGCACAGGGCCATGTCAAAATAGAACTATATAATATTGTCACTTATGTTCCAGTCTTAACATTACCTTCATTTTCTGGTCTGTTAAATTAACAAAATTATGTTTATATATATTTACTTACATCAAATGATAGAATTTACCAGTCCTAGTAAATTATAAATCTTCATGTCCATTCTGATTCTCCATGTTAATTATGCTTCTTTTGTCAACATTGCAGGTACAAAGATCATACAGCAGCAGTATTACTCTTGATGTTAATGTTTTACTCAAAATCACATGGAAATTCACTATATTTACCAAAATATGGGTATAATTAATTAAGTAAAAAAGTACAAATTTAAGGCCAGGAAATTTTCCTGTTTATCTCATTATTTAAATTGATAAAATATGCTTTGCAAAGTCATAGAAGACTTACTGTTCCATTATTTAAAGGTTACATACACCTTTTACCTTTTTTAATGAAAACATCTTGATGTATTACATGAAGTGCATCCTATTGGAGAGGAAAAGCGCAAGACACTGGCTATGTGGAGAAGAAATTTAAAAGTAATGTAAGAAATCGATAAATTTTATTTCAAAGGTTGGAATTTGTTCCCGTCACCAAAAAACTAAGTTGTTGTGTAGGTATAAAATGTGCATGTCACACACATGTATACACACACATGGTACAGGCATGTGCTACTGTACCTGGCTCTTCTATTTTCTTTGAAAATAAATGACATACACATCAGTCATTTAATGATATTTATAGAAGTAAACACACATATTCCTTGTAAAACAAAACAACTTTAGTAAAAAATACAAAGTGATTCAAGGAGATTATTAGCATTAAAAAAAAAACTCAGCCAGTTTAGGTAATCTTTGTCTATTTTGTTTTTAAAGAAACAACCTTGGTTGTAATGACTTTCTCTGTTGTTTACAGTTTTCTACTTCATTAGATCCCACTATATCTTTTTTTTTTTTTTTTTTTGGGTACTGAGGATCGAACTCAGGACCTTGCGCTTGCCAGGCAGGTGCTTGTGCCACTGAGCTACATCCCCGGCCCC